CCGGCCCCAGAACCGAGCCCTGGGGACACCACTTGTGACCAGTCGCCAGCCGGATTTAACACCATTCATCACAACTCTCTGGGCTCGGCCATCCAGCCAGTTCCTCACCCAGTGAAGAGTAAACCTGTCTAAGCCACGAGCCGCCAGTTTCTCCAGGAGAATGCTGTGGGAGACGCTGTCAAAGGCTTTACTGAAGTCCAGGTAGACAACGTCCACAGCCTTTCCCTCATCCACTAGGCAGGTCACCTGGTCATAGAAGGAAATCAGGTTGGTCAAGCAGGACCTGCCTTTCATGAACCCATGCTGGCTGGGCCTGATCCCTTGGTTGTCCTGCAGATGCCCTGTGAGCACTCTCAAGACGAACCGCTCCATGATCTTCCCCGGTACAGAGGTCAGGCTGACAGGCCTGTAGTTCCCAGGATCCTTATTCTGGCCCTTCTTGTAGATGGGTGTCACATTGGCAAGCCTCCAGTCTTCTGGGACCTCCCCTGTTAACCAGGACTGCTGATAAATGATGGAGAGTGGCTTTTTTTTTTTTTTCTCCAACCAGGACTGCTGAAAAATGATGGAGAGTGGCTTGGCAAGCTCCTCCGCCAGCTGTCTCTACTCTCGGGTGGATCCCATCAGGCCCCATAGACTTGTGGGTGTCCAGGTGGTTTAACATGTCCTTGACTGCTTCCTCCTGGATTATGAGGAGTATATTGTGCTCCAATATAAATATTCAAACTAACCTATGGACAGCTGTCCACATTTTAGTCTCTACCTAGGCTTCCCATGCAGACACATTCATTACTACAGCAAGAAAACTGTTGAGATCACCTGGTATGACACTGCATGTAACACCAGTCAGCAACACCAGGTTTCTCTGAAACAATTTCTGCGGGATCTGAAAAATAATCCCAAGTCTTACTTGAGCTCCTGGAAACCCTGGTGCTCCTGGAGAACCTGAAGAACCTTTTGGACCTGTTGCTCCTTCTCTACCTGCAAAAGAAACAGCGTATTTTGTAAAGAAAAATGAAAACAAGCACATGGATTTTGACAAGCTCCGATAATCACTCCCATCATTGAAGGTTTCTGCTTGTTACATTGACTGTATCATCATAGACTGACCTGGCTTCAGGCTGCACCTAAGCCTATTAGCATTCTGACTTCACCTCTTTTAGGGCTTGTGCTCCTATGAGTGGATGGAGCTGCATCAGGCTCCTAACACTCACCACAACTCATGCCTAGTTCAAGGACTGCATGCTGCAGACATGCCCATACCTGATTCTCATGCTAAAAGCAAAATCACTGGCATTTCCTACCATCCTGTTAGAAACAACAAGATAATTTACCAGGCATGCCATCTTGTCCATGTGGCCCAGGAGAACCAGGAAGACCAGGTATTCCCGGAATATAGCTGCAATCAGTACACACGGAAGCTTCATCACCTAGAATGAAAATAATTCATTAGCTGTTCCACAGCAAGTCATTCCCAGGCTTAACTAATGTGTTACATAGTTTGTTATAGAGAATGGCTAAGACTTTGGCCAGCGAGCGGTAGGAACACGGCTTTAATTTTGCTGGAAGATCACTTCCAACACAGAACAAAATTACCTGTGGTCAGACAGGTGATCAGAACTGATCACATTTAATTAGAAATGCAGGAACATTCAGTTTAAATCTCTTGATTTTTTTTAAGTCTAGTTTTCATAAACCATTTGGATATAGTCACTCCACTAATAAGCCAAATTCTCTCAAAAGAAGAAGGGGACCTGGGCTTCAAATTAACATGGCTCCATAACAGCCTGGGTAACTTTAATGAGTGGCAAGAGGCAAAGAGATTCAGCAGCTCCTGTGGTGGTATGTGCAGAAGGAACTTTCTCTCAGAGAACAACTATTGGTGTCAAACATAACGGGAGAATATAAAAACCCTACCAACTTGTAATAATTGTTTGTCCCAGTGAAGATCTACACTCTTGCTGCAATGCTGCACAACTGGTGTGCAGCACTGGCACATGCACTGCTCTTTTAGCTGCTGTTTACTGTAAGGGGAGGAAGACATCTTGCTATCCCTAATAAATTTTCTTAAATCTCTGAACTCATCAAATGGCTTAAGAGGTAAATTAAATTCAAAATTTTGTGAGGATCCATGAATACTACTGGATTGTATCACCTACTTCTGAGTGATAGTTTTCTGAAACTGACCTTTCATGCCAATATCTCCTGGAGGTCCCGGAGGTCCTGTATATCCTGGCTCTCCAGGAAGTCCTGGTAGGCTTGTTCTAAATGTTACTCTGCCTGTTAATGAAATGAGCATGGCACCATTACAACAGCAGATTATTCAGACAATTCTCCTAGCAAATAGAGAGAAAAAAGTTGCAAGGATGAGCAGGAGACAGTATTCTGATCCTTACAGGACCCTTCCAACTTGAGACATTCTATGATTCATTTAAAAGAGAGAACTACCTGCACAAATCCAGGTTACACCTGTAACTGGAAGCACTTGAGGATAAATACAGTAATGCCAAAGTAAATCTCAGCAGACTGTGGATCCGTCTGCCTAGCCTTTAAAAAGCATAGTCCCTTCTGGGAAAGTATTTCCATTTTATCTGAATCAAGAGCAACATAACTCTTTCTTTAACCAGGAATGGAAAGGAAACTTTTCTTTTAATCCTAAATTATTAATGCTGCTCATGTACCTTTGACAGAATTATTCTGGTGTATTTACTATTACTTGGGAAAAACAGAACATGCATTGAGCTATTCCTAAGGTAATATATCTGGAGATCAATAAATTTTCAGAGAGAAAGAAAAGAGAAGCACTACATTGGCATTGTTTCAGAAAAACTTGTTTTGGTCATAAGATATATAAAAGAAACATGATACTGTTGATACTCCTAGTTAATAGAGTTTCTAGAAGTTTTATAAATTCCTACTGCTTTATTTTCACACTGCCAGAACTTCAAACCTGCTCTAAGGCCCACTAAGACCTCTGAAGGCATGCAAGTGATTTCTCTAGCTTTCAGATTAGCCCCTTCTGAATTTAGTTTTACAGATTTACTACAACTTTTGGAAGAATTTTAAGAACTGATTTTCTGTCATTATTCTTTCCTGGTTTTCTGTAGCAGATCTTTATAGCCACAGTTACACAGAAAAGTGAGAAACCTTTATACTGGGAAGTCACTGTATCTTCTCTACAGAATCCCATTAGCAATGGAGCACCTTCACTTCATGAATATCCTAAAACAAAATTTCCAAAGAAAAATTCTATTCAACCATATTACTCAAAATATACTCTATAAGTAATGCATTTATATAATCTCATACATTAGACATTGAGATGACTCTGGATTTGCTCCTGTTCATTATATATTCAGTACTGAAATGTCACCTGGTTCTCCTGGAGGACCTGGTAATCCAACAGAACCAGGTCTGCCAGTAATACCAGGTAGTCCTGGAGGGCCTACAATGCATAAGCCAGTTTGTCCTTTCTCTCCTTTTGCTCCTTTTGGCCCAGGAAATCCTGGGGGACCTCTCAGACCAGGTCTTGTCACACCTAACCAAAGAGGAAAAAATACAAAAATGAAGTCAAAGAAATGGAATTTCAAAGCAAAATAAATACACAATAGGATGAGACAAACATACTGAGTTCATCTCACAAATACTTTTTATCTTGTAACATATTAAATAATCACAATGACAATGTAAAGATATTTAAAAATTATCTTTAACCTCTCTTTAAATACTTGGCCTACAATAGCTTTTGGGTGACAATTTTTTACCACTTAGAAACATGTTTAAAATAATCTCAAGTTAAGATTCCACAAAGCTGATTCCGTGTAATAGGCAGGAAGAACAATATGTTTCATTGTTGGTACTGGACCATTATACATACCTGGTCTACCAGCATCTCCGGGACGACCCTGTGGCCCTGCAAAAGCAATGTATTTAGAACTTGAGTTAAACCACTGTATACTCTGCAAAGTCACTAGTCATTAATACTGACTGCAAACTTTGGGCTTCTGCATTTTAAGTTTATTTTATCTTTTAATTTGGTTTTGCCCGAGTAGGCATCTACTACTTATGCAACCGTTTTATACTGACAATTCTCACTGAAATATGGCAAGATACGGAAGTTTACAACAAGTAGGAATAGGATCCACCACATTGATCTTAGGTGAGGATGCACTCAATTACTTGAGAACGACTTACAGGCTTGCATACTTGCTTCTTTTTGCCACTGTTATTTGCTCTAGTAAATATACCACCTCCTAACAATGCATTAATACCTTTGCAAGGCTCAACTTTCCTGTTGCCATCCCTTAGAAGTATGTAAGTAGATTTATAACAACACAGAGTATTCACTGAGTGGAACACAATCACTTGGATACATAAATATTCGTAAAACTAGAACATCAAAACACAGAATGCAAGGACTTGCTGGGTGAGTATGAGATATAGCCTACAAGATGCTGCCTCAGAGTTCAGGCCACAAGTTCTCGTTACATTGTGAGACAGCCCAAGTAATAAATCAGTACATTTTAATTTTACAGCATGGCCAAAATAAACAAAATTAAAACTTGCATATCTTTATTACTTCAGAATAACAGGCAATAAAAATAGCATAAAACAAACTATGAAAGCTCACCCCGCCCAAAACAAAAAAAGAAAAAAGTGCATGACCTTTAACAGGAGACTTACAGCCCTGATGGCTTGTCTATGGCATATACAAATAATGTGCTGATGCAGTAGTCCACTAAGGTCATGAGACAGGATGTCAGTGAGCTTAGGTGCTCAAATCAATTATCTGCGCACAGAAGTGTGCCAGCTTCATTATTTTTAAGAGGAAATATGGCCATAAATCAAAGTCTCAGGATACACTTGCATTCTGCAATTTGGTGAGAGTAATTTCAAAATACTCTTGTAAACAAAGACGCAGGTTGCTGGGTGCTCAAAAACCTAGCCTGCAACAAGCCCTTTGAGTGGACAGATCTTGCTAAAGGTTTCTGGTTTTGATGTGCCACTCACCAGGCATGCCACGTTGACCTTTTGGTCCTGGATGTCCAGGGGGTCCTTCATCTCCTTTTTCACCAACCACACTATCATAATACTCTGTCTTAAGAGAAAGATGGTAAGAAAAGAAAGAATAATAAGAATGGAGAAGCACAGTGCCTCATATTGAGCATTTGGTTAGAACAATGTTATGATCTCACTCATAATTTTGATGTTGTGACACCATGAGACTTTCTAATCACATGGCTATTACAAGCAGCCAGAAATGAAATCGTAATTGTTATACACAGATGATGCCAAGAGACCTGTACAAATAGATTGGGCTGGGATTTCAGCCCAGTTCCTCAACTCCCAGAGGACGACTCTGCCTGCAGATGCAATTATACAGGCAAGGTGCAAGTTGGAGACCCAATCACAAATGATAAGGTAGCATGAAATAGAAAATATTCTTGAAAGAAGCCTCTAGGCATCACTTAGTCTATTCCATTGGCTCAAAGCAGTATCAGCTATAGCTAGACTATTTTAAATAATCATACATGAAAACAGACAAAAGTCAACTACTTAAATCACATATGAATTAGAAAGTCATTCCTATAAAAATTAATATTTAATTTATTGAAGTTTAATATTATGATATTTCAAAGTTTCTATGAATGGCAGGCAAAATAAAAATGTGGTTTGCTGTAACTATTTTTTTATAACTACAAATTTTTGCTCTTTTCTGGATTATTTTGCACGGGCACCATTACTAGCAAATCAGTATTGTAGTAAGCATTATACCTTGATATATACACATGACACCAAAATTTAAACAGACTAATAATGTACCAATTTTTAAAGGAATAAAAAAACCTGCTTGAAATTAAAACTCAAAATTTTTACTTTTCTCCTATTGATTTTTTTGAAAAGCAGTGGTTTTTTAGTACTCTGTTAATATCACAAATTATTTAGCCTTTTACAATGTTATTTCTTTTGAACAATTTGGGCAGAAGGTTTCCATTAAGTGTGCATGGGATCTTTAAGGAAGCCACTAGCGAGACAGCATCAGAAGACAGAGAAATTGTACTCGTAGTATCTCTTGCTTTCTTTAAAACGTCTTCTCAGGATTTCAAAATTAACACCACCTGTTCTGGAACCGACTAGAGCCTGGTTTGAAAATTAACTCCTGTGATTTTTTTGTAGCTGTTCTGTGACAGTCCAATCTCCTGTCAAAATTGCCGAGTGGGGTCTAACCAGGCCCTGACCATGCATCCAGCTCTACATGAAGGAAGATGCCACCTCTGTGAGACGCCCAGCATCAGTACTTTGAGAAAGCCATGCCTCCATTAGAGGACCACGGGACATCCGTTACTGCCTCATACAGTCAGTTTGGCGTGTTCTTATTCTAACGGTATAGAAAAATGATACCATGAAGATAATTTACACTTACTCGACCACAAGCTCCAGGTGGACCAGTGTTTCCTTTCATCCCCTTCATCAGAGGAGAGAGATGGGTTTGTTTATAAAAAACAATACATGACATTTGGTACCCACTGTTACTTCAGTACATTGCTCATAAGATTAAAGAAGAACTGCTCCTGACCAGTCCCCCACCACCCCCACCTCTGTGCCTCACACAACCATTCAGCCACATACACCAAAAGCTACAGGAACACATCAGCAGGCATAGATGGACACCAGTTCAAACACATGATCTATTTCAGCTGACCCATCCCCTATTCCATGATATCATTACTTATCATCTTTTAGGTGAAGTAAAACATATTGTATACACAGTGATAAACAAAATGATATAATAACCCCAAAACACATCTTTATTCTCATCCTCAAAAGCAACAACAAAACCATTAGACAATACCTTAGCTCCTTGTCTGCCAGCCAGTCCTGGTTTGCCCCGTTCACCCCTTTGTCCCTGCAGGTGACAGTACACAATTTTAGGAGCATTAACCTTTTAGCACTGCCATCAGTAAGATCTAAAATGGAAAGCTTTAATCTTTCATGGCACTGGGAAGGTGATCGTGACTTGTTCAGCGAAGAAATCTCAGGGAAGGACTCAGTTTGGGGTATAGTTCCATGTCTGTAGGAAATACCACAGGTCCCTCATCCAAACTTGCCTTTATAATGGCACACTCATTAGTGCTGCTCTGGATAGCACAAGTGTCAGAAGCTCCGGTTTGTTGTCCCTCTGCAAATTACTATTTCTGAAAGGGGAGAAACTGCACACAATGTGAGACTCTCACACTCAGCAACTCCCTCTCCCAGAACTTGGTCAGTCTGCATGATGATGCTGATCTCAAGAGGTGTCAGCAGTACCAGGAGGGAAAATAGTGCAGATTGCTGCTAAGGCTTTCTGCAAGTGTATGCATGCAAGGAAAAAGGGCTTCTCAGAGACTTATGCTGTTGAATGCACTACTAGTTAGTAAAGTTGAAATGGGAACAGAGCAATGACATGTTTTTGTCATGACAGAAAGTTTTCTTTCTGTTCGCTGAACCAGTAGAGCTTTGTGGTCTGTCAGACCTTTCTTTGTCAGATTGGAATGTGTTTAGACTGTCTATGAAGGTTGTTTTGGCATGATGAAGATGATGTTTTAGTAAGATATACGTGAAATAGGCTATTCTGACAATAAGAATTTTTATAAGATATCTGTAAGGGCACTGTGACCCTAATGAAGTTGTTAAAGTGGAAGTGAAGTAAATATAAAAGAATTGATATTTAACCAATTGAATACAGTATTCCAAACATATTTGAGCAAGTTCAGCTTTTAAATTAGTACACCAATTAGGTTACATTGGTTATAAAATGGTGTATTTCAAGAATTATATGATGACAAGATGACAATTAATATCTATCAGTCATCTTGTTTCAGGCCAAGGCAGCTGTGACCTTGACAATAACTTTTCTTGGTAAAAGAACGTCTTTGATACCGGTGATTAAAAATTATTCATTTTGCTTCTTGATTTATGCTGAAGTGAAGGTATGACTCTTTCGCAAAAAATTTCAATGTGACTGACCAGAATTAAACTCAGTAGAATTAATTTTGTGTAACTTGGACCATGTCTCAAACTCGTTACATAGCCAGCAGGAAACAACAGGTCTTTTTATTTCCCAAAGAACATCTATGAACCGAGCCCCTCTCTCCTGCATAAACCTATGAGGACATAGTATGTCCCAAGGTCAGCTTTGTGAAAGGAGATGTTTCACAGTGTATAGAAACCAACATTTTCAAACACATTCTGCAATGGGAAAAAGCTGTGACAGGATGATATGATCGTGATAAACAGATGACTGCTACGTAGAAAGCGTTTAGAAGGCTTCCTTCATTACCGGTAAGCCAGGTGGACCCGGGGCACCTTCTTTTCCAGGTTTACCCTTCAAAGGAAAAACATAAAATAAAATTTAAAAAAGTTAAGTTCAAAAGAGGTGCTATTGCATTTACAGAGCATAACAACTAAATGCTGTGCATATAACTGTATTTTAGGTCTTTATAAATTTTGAAACGTCATTAAGGTTATTTTTAAAAACATTAATTATTTCTAATTGTAACTAATGTTCATAAAACTCTACAAAACAGGGAGTAGGATATTCCCTGGACATTTCTCCTCCTGTGGAGGACTAGTTGAGGCAGACACTTCACCAGCACAAAGTGCCAGGCAAGTGCAGAAGGCTTGGTGCAAAATCAGATCCTTTCAGACAGAAGACAAATGATAAAACAACACAGCATCTAGCAGCCCTTCTAATGGTGACCATGGAAAGATACTGAAGGAAAAAACTTTTCTCATATTAAATGGGGCTAAGAGATGACTTGAAGAGAAATTATTTGATGAACAAGAATAGGCAGTGCACTTCAAAGCTTTTGGAAGTAGGGCAGTAGATGGAAAAGTGAAAACAGGAGGAGGCAGCATGCCAGAGGTATCTGCTGTTTTTTATGGCGCATGGCACATTAGGCAGCCTTCCGCTGCAGTCCTGGTATCTACTGTGTCAACAATACACGTTAAGCAATTCATAACAACAACAACAAAAAGACAAAGGGAAGGGAGAGAGGGGGGAAATGGGGAAAGAAACAGAAGGAAATAAAACTTAATTCTGAACGCAGATACCTTGCTTGCCACCTTGAAGGCAGAAATGAGGAAAACCTGGTTTATTAAAATCCACAGTAGGAAAGTAGTGGTAAGATAAAAGGGGGGTGGAAGATTATGAGCTCAGAACAACAGGGGAGAAAGTACATTTTAGAAGTTTCTTTTGCACAGAATAAATCAATGAAACTTAAAATAATTTTGAAAAAGATGACTAGACCATGAATTACGATGTAAGCATCAGAAAAAACAGCAATAGTGAAAAGACAGCAGAACTTAACCAAAGATGATACTCCGGAAGAGAAGAGGAGTTGGAATGATGTCACCACAGGCTCAAAACTTGCTTGCACAAAATAATATTTTTTTTCTAGAATATAAAATCCACAGCCGTTTGCTATTTTGTGCTCACTGATGTAATTTCAATAGCAAAAGGAAACATTTTATTTTCATTTTAGACTAGCCAGTCAGTCAATGTCTTAACATAATTTGTATTTCCTCAGCATTCTTCAAGGTCAATAAGCAGAAAAGCAAGGGTGCTCTACTGTTTCCTACACAAAGGAGGAATGGAGAGGTCAGTTAAGAAGATTTCTAAAATTAATACATGACAGGACAGGGCTTTTGCAAACAGAAGACATAATATAGAAGAAACACAGAAGATGGAGGAAGAACAACACACATTGCATAGCAAGAACTTTTAGTACTTTACACCAGTAACTCAAATAGAAATTAAAATTTTCATAATGTATAGGAATAATACAAGTAACAATCAAGTTGCTTTATAACATCATCATTGTTATTGCACCACACAATTAAAGAAAGAGCGATCTACAGGTAGTACTGGTCTTGTCTTGCTACCTTTCCTTGTGGAAGAAAATTTATTGCAACCACCAGAAGTACGGGAAAAGTTTCAAACTACATATGTCAGGACTGAATGAAGTATTTAATTTGAAAATTATTTTCCTTGATGTTGCTTTGGAATCAAAATATTTTGTTCAGAAAACGTCACCAAACATTTTGATTTATTTGGCTACTTTAGGGTTTTCCCCTGATGATAAACCATTATGAATTCATACAGTTTTAGTTACTAAGTACCTTCATCTTTCATTGATTATCTTTTATCTGAAAGTTTGAAAGCCTTTAGAATGCAAAGAGGTAACTTTCTATTTAATGCTCTTCAAAATGTAGATATACTCGACTAAATTACATTTTAATTGTGTATGCTTTTTAAAATAAACATATGAATTTTTCTCATATTATCCTATTAACAGAGTAACACTCTTATGACAACTTTCTTCATGTCTCCACATACCTGCTGGTTGAGCATACTAATTTAAGTCTGCTGCTGTAAGTAAACCCAATGTTTTTAATTCTCTTCTACATACACACTGGCACTATAAAGCCAGTACATGTTCAGAAGTTTGTTTTTTTTTTTAAACTAAGTTTCAACAGTAGAACCTTTATAGCAAAACAAATAGAAGTGCATCCACCATCAACTGACCTTTATGTACTCACGGTATGTGAGCCTATAAGAACAGTCATTTCAGTTTTAGCTCTCTAGTCTGATTTACTGGATGAAAAAGCTTTTGAATCGAAGAAAACTTGCTCTGAGTGGCATTGAAACAAAAACTGGGGAGCAACATTAGTGCAAAACAGCTTTTCAGAAAAGACTAACATATGTGTATTCAATTGTTTGCACATACCTGTGCTCCGGGTTCTCCTCGGTCACCCTTTTCACTCTGAGAATCACCAACCGGTCCCTGTAACAAAACCATCCTCAAGACCCATGTATTTTGAGACTCACAGTCGCTAAATTAAATGTATCTTTTCTGATTTTGTTATCTTTAAAAAAAAGTATAAAAACAAAGTACATTTAGAATGCTATTAATAGGTATCCCATCCCATTCTATTCATTAATTCTATTTTATTCATTGAAGGTTGGAATAAGTAGTGTAAATACAGGACTCTAAAGCATAGCATTTAGTAGGTGATGCTGCCTGAACATCTGAATGTAAGGGATTTGTACATACATAATAGACTTCTGGTCACTTACTGTAAACCCCATTGGTCCTGGAAGTCCTCTCGATCCTTTTTCTCCTTTCTCTCCTTTCAAGTCCTATTACATAGAAAATAAAAATTTAATACGTTCTCTTGGATTTTTCAGCGCTTACCATAACACTCATGTTTTACAAACAGGAAATCCTTACGTTACCAGCAAGCTTCTTTAAGCAGAGATGGTTCTACTTAAACGACTAAGAAACAGAAACTTCGTATCAGTGCTTCTGCCTAAGTCTATGAAGTTCGGAAAAGAAACTGGCTCTCCACATATTTCTGAACATAGGAGTTCAAAACTACGTACCTGTGATTGCATGCAAGGGGACTGGAGTAAATATCCCCAGAAATGGCAACAAATTGCAAGTAAAAACCAAATAAACTTTAGTTGCTTCACTGGAGCTACAGCTACCTGCAATACATAAAAGCAGTGGCTACCCACACAAGCCTTGCCTCTGTGGGCTCAAGATTAGATTATCCTACTGTGTAGTACTATTGTGTATTGGGCCACATCCTAAGGCTGTTATAAAGCCAAAGTTTACAGACTAATTACTACCTGGTTAGACTCCTGCCCCAAACTATTTATGTAAGGAGTTTTGAGGGGTTTTTAAAACTTAATGCTCAATGTCTCTCAAAAATTGCCATTGCCCAATGATAAACCACCACAGCTGTGACTGGGAAGTGCTCCAGGTGGTCCATGTTTGATTTAAACAAGGAAGAGCTGCTGTGCCTAAAAGATGAACTTCGCTTCTGCAGTCTTTCTCTTCCCCCCTTGATACAGTCTTGACACAAAATTCACTTTTTTATTTTAGCATGTAATGGAGAGGGAGTTTTGATAATTCCATTGATTAGATGCAAATTAAATGAAGACAACCGAGTCAAGAACAGGTTGAAGACTTGTTCTGTTAAATACATAAACACCTAAAGCTGTGTATCAACTACTGCTGTTTAAGTTCTATATAAGGACAAAATGCAAGAATTTTAATTCACAAAGCAACACTTAAAATGAAAGCTGAATCAGAGTATTTCCATTCTCCAATACTCACTGTTGTTCCAACACTTTCCATGATTACTCTTGTTCCAATAAAAACAACGAGAACGTGCATGAACTTGTAAGCTTTTATGAAACTCTGGTAACTGAGAGTCCTGATATTTTCAGCGACAAGGCCCACAGGTCAACACAGCTGTGTCTCTCACAGCCATTCAGAAAATCCATGTTGATTTGGTGAAGCTAAAGTTGATTTACTTTTCATGTACTCAGAGACCCACAGCAGGTGGGTTACTAACAAGCATTTAGCATTCCACTGGCATCGTGCAGATGTGCATGTGAATACACGGGCCTCAGCTGAGCTGGCTGTACAGACACACTCTAAGAAGAGCTTAGTATCAAACTAAACAAGTTTGAAAAATGTTGGGATGGGTAAAAGGAAATGTTATTGGAACAATGAAGATGAAAATGTCCTCTCAAAGTAAAACCTAGTAAGATGGCTTATGCAAACGTGATGTTTAACAATTTTATTACCGTCATGTTGTCTGGTCCGCTTAATGTCACAATAACAGTTCCTGGTGGGCCAGGCGGTCCAGTTAATCCAGTGTCACCCTTGAAAGAAAAAAGGAAAAATAGAGCAATTACAAGCAGTGTATTTTTTATTGCTTCAAATTATTATTGCTATACTTCTGACAACATTGTGAAAATTTTTCTGTCGTTCCACTTAGCCATTAATACAGTTATCGTTTCTCTTTGCTTGCTCCAATAAAAAAAGGTATATGGAAGACTTAAGACTACTATGACAACCTTCTCCTAGCTGAGAAATACAAAAATGCATATGCTGATTTATACTCAAGTATCTAGAAATAGCTTAATTTTTTAATACTATTTCTTTAAAAGTTATACAACTATTTTAACTCTAAATTAAATAAAAATACCTCCTTGATTACCATTTTTCTCTCAATTTTATTAAGTCCATCAATAAAATACATTAACTGACCCTGGTGACATCCTCAAAACTGCAGTCTCTGTATTACAGGGAGGTGATTGTAACATAGTGCTGACAGATAAAATTAGCTTTCATGTGTCCTTAACTGAAACATTAATATTGCAGTATGCTTTTCCATTAAAGATCTTTCAGAAGAGGGTAAGTCCTAAATGTGATCTTTCCTGTGGAGCTCAACAAAACAACATTCATCATTTCCAGTGATTTTAAGCCAATAGAATGGCTTTGCATGCACTTGCAGCGTAACATCAAAGAATACATCACTCTTTTACAAGGAAGCAAGATGCTCCATGGTCACCTGAGCTAATGCTAATGAATAATCGATTCTATTTACAGAAATTTTCCCAGAAAACTCCTCACATTCCCAGTAGTAATCACGAAGTTAAAACCAATCCCACTGACAGATAGTGCTGTTTCAGTTCACAGCTGAATCTGTGCAGGTCAGCTAGCATAACTGCAAGATGCCCCAGGTTCTTGAAAGGAACCTGTAAGAACATTGAGACTGACTACACTGGTCCTCCAACTGCAGGCTGAAGTCCCGAGAGACAGCAGATCTATTCGTAGTCATTTCTAGCTTAATGTCAATAATTTCGGATACAAAGTAAGAACGTGGACAACAAGTCATCCAATTTTTAGTCAAAATCTGGGAGGTTTTCTGGCATCATAAAGGCTAACATTGAAAAGATGTTGGCCATAAGAAGTTGTGAGCCTACAGATGCTATATATTTACCAATGTTTACATGCTTAGATAAGCATTTAGGAATACTGTGCAAATGATATATAAATGAATTTAATGCTATGTGTTAGTAAATATTAACTACTGGCTCCTCTTAGGTTTCCCCCCTCCTATCAGGAAGTTTATGTCATTGGCTTTTAACATGAAAACAGTTTGTCCTTGGATATTAATTGCCATGTTTTCATTTTCCAATAAAAGCTTCTACTATATACTGACTTCCATATATACTGAAAATTTTTATTTCACAGTACTTACTTCCCCAAACATTTCACCATAGTATATCCGACAAAGCAGAAAACAGAAACAAAACTTTTAAAATGTTTTTTAAGCATTTTATATAGTTACCTTTCTTCCTTTGGTTCCTATTACTTTCAGTCCCATAAGACCCTGTAAAAAAATACCCAAATTTTGTTTTTTTTTAATTTTAAAAACACCTATAAAATGAGTTAACTGATGTTACACATAATAGGAAGTTTTCATTTTTATTACCAATCTGAGACTACCTTAGGTCCAGGAGGCCCTGCTTTCCCTGGCATGCCCTATAAAAAAGGAAAAAAAATTTCCATAGTTTAAAAATTACAATCTTCAGCACCAATATGTCCTGCAGTACCCAATTTTCCCATGAGTTATATCACTATTTTTATTCTTCTTCCACCTTTACAACTGCAATCTGTTGTGAATCGGTGACAGAATGTCTATACAGTCTAGTTGCAAATATATACATCTCTCTTACAGTTATGCACATTAGTATTTAAAGTGAAATTATGGGTAATTATTTGAAAATTAAAATTTATGCCTACATGGACAAGGATGCTTCTGAAAACATGGAAATTATGCATAAAATAATCAAAATAAACTGCAAAAAAAATAAATCAGATATGTGCAGAAGGATATGGATTTCGCATACACGTCTCTAGAGCTCAAAAGTCCGGGAGAGTCAGGTACTTCTATTTGTGTAATTTCACAGGTCTCTGGGAAAATCAAAGGTTAAAGTAACAGCTGAGACATAAATTCATACTCACTGAAGCTCCTGGAGGGCCGTGTGGTCCAAGTTCCCCAGGATATCCTTGAGCACCCTGGGCACCCTGCATATTAAAAAAGAAACAGGAATAAATCTCCTGGCAAGATCATGAGCAAACCAGAATGCTAAGTTCAATGAACTGAATAACAAACAGAGGAGCAGCACTGTCTCTGGATTTCTTTTTCATGTGTCAGGATAACACAGAAGTATAATTCCTCCTCACTGCTTCATTGACTGGCATATGTTTTGAAACATGAGAAAACATATCTGTTCTAAAACTAAACCACTCAAGTGAGGATGTATGTCCTGTTTAACTGTGGACATTCTAATAATCCATTTAGTCCTATTGCTAGCCCTAATAAGCCTTTAATCTTTTGAATATTGTATGCAATAAAATCTATACTTTAAAGATTCATTTTCAAAGAAATGGAAAATAAAAAATTTTTATTTTCCTTTTAATGTCCTCCATTTATTTTAACAACCAAAAGAAATGTCTGCTCTGCCTTCTCCTATTAATCTCCGTTTTAAAAATATGGATCATACTGTCCTTTGTCAGTACTCTAGAAGTTGAGCTGGTCTAATCCGTCCAATCTTACTTCATGGGGAATTTTTGCAGTTGGAGTAGATGGTCGTTGTAGGTCCCTTCCAACTGAACTGTTCTGTTCTAGTCTGTCCTATATGTAGGGATAAACACCTAAATCTATGAGCAGTTTTTCTCTATTTCTAAAGTATTGTTTTTTGCAACGTGACTTCTCCATCTCACTTTACGAACACATAGTGGACACTGTTGGTTCTAATGGCAAAATTAATTACTGTTGTCTTGGCATAGTCTGTTTTGTACAGTCAGAAGAAAGAATTTGGATATATTGTATTAGATTATATAAAGTTAATAATTTTTTTAATCACACAACATTATTTTCTGGTTTAAAAATTAGTGAGGTAATTGTAAAAAAAAGTATCTCTATAAAATATATAATGCATTAAAATTATATATAGCATTAGAAAACTAGTTATCTACACATTCATATTATATATAATGTTTTTATTTATATATATATAAACATATATATATATATCGCAGTCTGAATTAATTCTGAATTAC